TTATTCTCACAGTTCGGTGGTTTCTCCTGACCCAAGCGTCTACACGAAGTGACGGCGCAGCGGCGAAGCGAAGACCGGGAGGCTGTGGAGTTTAGTGGCGTGACGGTCGCGGTGGGCTGCAAAACGGTTGGGCGACAGTTCCTTTTAAATAAGGGTCCCCGACTCCGATAGTTTTTGCCCCTCCACCGTAACTGGGCTCGCGCGGGCAACACCGACTATGCCCCATCTGACAAAAGCGGACACTGGGTGAACGGCGGGAAGCAGAATTGCCGGGGGGTGAAACGACCAAACAAATATGAAGCTGCGGGTATTTCTTCGCTTCTTGGAGTGCGGTTGAGTCGTTGGGGGACTTCGCCTAAAGGGCACTTTTCGAAGTTGCCTGGCAAGAAATACAGCGGCAAGGAGACCTAGGACCCCCGGTGTTTAAACGCACACCTCGGGAAATTCTTCAGAAAAAAGGGAGCGTGGGAGCAGTCGTAGCTTCGGGAACTTATCGACCGGCGACGAGCGATGCGGTGAAACATCTGCAAAGCGCTGGTGGGAGAAAAGGATTATTTTGTTAAGTAGATTCGGCGGAAGCAGTTTTCGACTACGACGTCAACGGCTTGATGCCACTAGGTTCCGTGAAATTCGGTCTCGGAATAACCCATGGCAGTCCCCGGTTCTCGATTGTACCCACATGCTCGGGTCGGGTAAACCGAAGGAAACTGATGGTGACCGAGTGGGCGGCTATAGCACGTCCGAGATTTTTGGAGGCAAACTGCTACTGCAACTGCATCTGTGGATTTTTGGGGCTGTGTTGAAACGACATTTTCGGAGTTTACGCGGAACTGCACAGGTTTTTACGGCGAGAAGCGGCAACAATTTCGGAGGAGAATTCGGCGTTTGGTTAAACGCGCGCGACATCTACGCTGGGCAACACCGCCGGCACTACACGGAGTTTTCAAGGGGTAGGAACGACTTACGACGAACTGAAGAAGGCGGCGACAATAGTGACGAGGGGGAGCGACAGCTGTAAAATTTCATCCCTGCCCAGGAGCCCTCAGCGCACTACGACAAACGGCTCGGCGAGTCTAGACAAAACCGCTGAAGGTGCTGACATCATCTGACCCTAGATCGTGCTCGACATCAATTTCGGAGTGACATTCGATTTCGGTTACTGCTTCAACGAATTTCGTCGACGCTCGTATTTGACTTTACGACGAATCGCCTTCACCGACGACATTTTCGTACCAACCCCGACTTCACGGCCAGAGGATTTCGGGATACAACCGCTCCAACTCTACTAGCGACAACTCCATCAACTCGACCCGCCCACGACAACTCCATTGATTTCAACCACGTCAGGTGCTGCCAGCTGCATCTGCTGAAGATACTGCATGATTCTGGCGTGTGAAGACAAAAGCAGGTTCAGTTCGAGCAACGCATAATTTCTGCAGCGGTTTCTGGTCTACTTACGCGGGTTCGCCCTTGGAGACTTTTTGGGGCACGTAGACCTGGGTTCGCCATCGACATTTCCACACCGACGACATTTCGCCTGGACTTTTACATCCGACGCTCTAGTTCGTGGGACTTAACGCCTGGCTTTTTGTTGGTTTTCATCTCGGCATAGCTGTGACACATTTTCTGGTGTGCTTTCTTGGAGGGGGGGAGAAGGTGCTTTGCACTGTTCTTTCCTTGGCGTTTTTCTCGGTCCTTTCTGACTTTGTCAGGTTGCGTCAGCACGACGGACGATCGCGATCACACCGACACGATCAACGGTCCCTGCTCAATCGCGTTTGAATTCGCGTCAGCAGGTTCCCTCCAATCTCGCGTCAGTCTTCGACCGTCAGATCAAAATCGGACTTCATCGACGGCCTACATCCCAACCTTTTCAAAATTATTGTCAAAGGCATTTCGGCCGTCAGATTCAGCTGAAGAGGAGATCTACGGAATCCTCGCTAGTGTGGGGCCTGTTTCAGTACAGGACTGCCTTATTTAGAAGGTGGGAGGATGTAAGGATTTACAGAATCCTTAATGGGGCACTCGTTAGCGAGGCCATCCCGAGGGTCACGCGACAAACCTGTCCTTCCTATTTCGTCGCACCGAACCACTCCCGAGTCGCCTCCACACCAATCGCAACCATCACCGAGCCATCCTTGCCCAACCTCTCTGCCTAGCTAGGACTTCCCCTATTTAGTCGTGCTTTCCTCATTGTATCATCATTCAATAATTCAGTAATCAGTTCATTCTCGTTATTCGATATTCTGCGCACTCTGCAAGTTCATTCATAACAACTCGCCGCGTCAGTGTTGTCAACAGAATTCTTTCACACAGTGAGAATTAAAGTTGAGTGAGAAATAGTAGATTACGTAAGCCACCATGGCGCAATCTAAGCCAGCTACTGCCAGCGAAGCACCTGTCGAATTAATTACGGTACAGTACCCCCCCACGTGTTACCCTCTGTTTACAGTGCACCAATGGTGGCTCGGATCAACCCGAGCCAAATCAACTCCCGGCCACGTGGCTGTAAGCAGTTTGATTCGCCACTGCCGCCAGCCAGAGTGAGTGGCTTGGTACAGTACCTACATAGCCGTTCAGTTCTCCCTTGGTACAGTACAGCCCGGTGGAGCCAATGAGAACAGCCTTATTTTGCGGCTGTGCGGAGCGGACGTCGGAGCCAGCATCCGCCTGTCGTGCCATACGCGACGGCTCGATCCGCCGAAAATGCGTCGCTTCGCTAACAGCCTGCCTCGGCTCGACCGCTTTCCCCCCACCCCTCCCCGCAACCCCCCTTTTCTCCCAGTCCCTGTCAAGATGCCCTCTTGCCTCAGGCAGCGCCTGGCGCGATCCACGTCGAACCTGTAATGGCGTTTAATCTGCTGGGAAAAAGGGTGATCAGGAATGGCACCCCCCCGCGCAACCCCCTTCCCCCACAGCCTGCCAAGATGCCCTCTCGCCTCAGGCAGCGCCTAGCACGAGCCACATCAGACCTTGTGGTGATGTCTTAAGTGTACTTACAAGGAAAGAAAGGCAATCACGAAGCCACCTGTCGATCGGGGTACCCAACGCCGTTCACGAATGGTGCTGATCGCCCTGGGTTAGAGATAACTTCGAGTTGTCTCCGCAGAAGCGAACAAGTAAACCAGCGTACAACTGTTAGCGCTAGGAATCCTATTTTCAACCAACCTCTGATCATCATCCGCACGATATCATCAGCGACGAAGGATATTCTTAAAACTCCACTTGCTTTAGTCAGAAATGGACGGTTCGACAAGCGTCGCCCGCTCCTACGCCGCACTCGGCGGCAGTCGAAGGTCTTTAAGTTTACTACCTCTCTCGACCATCCACGAGGGCGCAAGCCGCCAGTGGGAGGCAACAGCGGCGTCGTCGAAATCGTCGTCGTCATCTGGAGGCATGCATTCGAAGAGATGCGAGAGAAGATAAGCCCCTCGGCTCTGGATCTTCTAAGAGACGGCACTCTTTCAGCACCAGGGAACGCAGACGGGACAGCCGAAAGAATGAAGTCGGTAAGTGGACGTCATCGCAGAAAAGGCAAGTGCCAAAAAAAACTTTAATATGGCTCGATCATAACTTTCCAGTTGCATTCGCCTCGTAAAAAAAAAGTTTGACTCAGCGACAGTGGTAGCGTTAGTAACTGCATCCATAACCTTTCCGTCACTTTGTGTCAACACGGTGTGCGGATTCCCGCAACCGGCACGCAAGTGTCCGTGCAACTTTACGAATGGCATACAGTAACCCCGTGCGTAATGGTTGCATTCACGATAACGTTGCTAAAACACCACCCATCACACAAACCTCCAAGCAACCAAAACATGCGGGGACGTACACGTGCCCATGTGTACGTCAGATAGAACCGTACCTGCCACGTAAGCGTACACCGCCAATACCTCCCGAACCTACCATGGCCGCGTGATTGGGCACCACAACATGGAATCCGCACCGTTCACGTATAATGCGCTCCACAAGTCGCCCTACAAGTTACACTTTCGCCAACCCGCACAGTTGCGTCGATTTGGGACTACAGTCTACATCCAGGCCGTACATTTCTGTCGCGTTGAATGCCGCGCACCACTGCAAACCCGCCACGTGCAACCCACTCCGTTACTCGACACATAATACCCACGCGCATGTACATAACCCGCACGTCCCACATGTCTTCAACACCCATCATCGTACTACGTGTAACCTCATCTCGCAGTGACTTCGCGAGTGGCGCCCATCCAGTTGTATACGACGATGGCTCCTCGCCCAACACTCGAGCAACAACTCAAATGCCGCCACGTAACGCTGACACTTTACGGAAATCGGCCCAGGAATCACTTATGCGTGTGCCTGCAATCCACACGGCTCTTACGCGTCACACCTCCTCGTGCACGTGTCGCCCTGTCGCCATATCGCACCGCTTGTAACATCTTCGCCTGCACCACACATCCTGCTTCGCACAAATCCCGGCATCATGAGAGGCATCCACGATGGATAGATACGAACCAACCTTACAACTACACGCGTCACCTTTACGCCTGTCATAAACGCCACCTTTGACCAACACGCCACATGCGTGCCGACACCTGCACTCATCATGTACCGCATATTGTGCGGCGTCAAGCTTTTACGCCAATCATGGCAACCCGCGTGTTGCTCAACGTATGGCCGGGCAGGCCGATCATGTTTGCTCCGACAAATGCGGCGAATTTCAGAAGCGCTTCATTTTCGACACTCATTTGGTCGTTTCCCCACCTACCCACCCCACGCAGTATTTTCATACAAAGAGCACCAAAACCATGTCCACTAGGCAAACACAAAACATGCAACACAATATATTCACGACAAGCGTCTACCTGCCTGCAAACACCGTACACCTTGGCCAACTTCTAGCACACTAAAAAAACCCAAATACGGTTGATAAAAACCAAAAGCGCACAAACAACCCCAACCTCTCCGCTCCAGTGCAGGTCCATGCCCTCCATCATCCAGGCCTCCACCTCCCCGCTGCTCTACTAGTCCCCGACTGACACCGACTGCACATCCTTCCCGGCGCCTTCTCCGCCCCTAGCGCCAGCATTAGGCTTCATGTTCTCCAGACCACAGGCAGAAAGGCGGAGACCATGGCGTCCCCAAATCCATTCCTCCTTCTCGTCGTCGTACTCGGGATTGAAGTGACTGATGGCCTGTGACACAGAGCCCTTCACAAGCACCTTGAGCCCGTTCACGACGTGGCCGTTCCCCCCGGCCGAGTTAGAGACGCGGCCCATCCTCTGCTCCCAATACATAATGCTGTCGGACAGCTGGAAGGAAATATACAACGCGCACGCCTTGTAAGGCTACAGCCATACTCAAACTAACCACCAAAGTCAAACAATGTCACTCACCACGTGCTCCAGCCACCCAAAGTGGTACACCTTCAAAGTGAGCGGCATTGTAGGCTTCCTCGGAATGAAGGCTGCCTTTGCGCACGCTGCAAAGGCGGCAGACGCAAATGGCATCCCCTCGCAGTCGTTTGACCAGTTGCTCAGCACCAGATCTGTACATGGGGCCGCGGATATAATGGTGGGGTTTACAGACTACAACGCACATAGAAAATGTCACTCACCACAGTGTATACGCACAAGAACACCGCTTACCGCTCTCTTCCGCACCAAGCCCAATGCGCTCCCGAATCTGCTCCAGCGTCCGTGCGTTGTCCCTTGCCCACGGGCTTGCCTCGTCGCGCTCATCACGGAAGAATCCAAGCGTAGGGAGCACAATGTCCCTGACCCGTCCAGCTGCCCTTGTCTTCCACTCGCTCAGCGTCTTGTTAAGGTCAGCACGGCGGGACTTGTCCGCCGCAAGCGCAAGGCACGCGAATCTATGAGGCAGTCTGTCAATCACTGCACAAACGCCATATGTCTTGTCGTCTGAGCTTGGATAGAACGTCATGGTTGCGGCCGGCTTCTTCAAGAACAGATGCACTCGGACCAGCTCGCATACGCGCTGCACACAATTCAGGTATCATGGTATATCATGAATGAGTCCAATGCTCCACAACACTCCATCGCACGGCAGGAAACGCACAAACATTAAGTAATGTTACACAATTGGTACCACATCCCACCTTCCAAGCCTTGTCGGCCGGCAGCAGATCAAGTGCGCGTTGCAGAACAGGCGACTTCGCAGAGCGCATGTGCTTCCGACGCGCTGTCCGAATCTGTGCCATGTCTTCGTAGTCGTCGTCTTCCTCCTCGTCGTCATCCTCCTCAACGTCTGCCACTGTTGGGCCGCGACGCTGGCGCTTTGGGTTCATGCATCACTGCCCGGGATCCCTCTGCCGCTCCGCCTTGCGCCGACGGGACCCCCCATCGGACTTCGCCAGCGCCTCCAAAAGCAGAGTTTCCAAGCGGGCCACCTTCTGCGCGCTCTCGTCCTGCGACTTAAGGTGGCTCTTGAATACTCCCGCGGAAACGCGCACTTCCTCGCCATGCGTGTCCATAGCATCGTTGGAGACTCTCGCGTTGCTTTCGAACATCGTGCGCATTGCGTCACCCACATCCTCGTCATCCTCCTCTTCGAAAGCGTTTATATTGTTCACGATGTGTGCCTGTATGCCCCCTTCAAAATCCTCGCCTCGATTCCGGTTCGCCTGACGAGGAGCACCGTCGCTATTGGTACGCGAATCGGGCGAGTCACTCACCAGCGCTTGTTTGCCGACCCTGCCGGGAGAAGCGTCCGATGTCTCGCCCCCCGTATTATATGCGGACGTGGGAATGTAGGCGGTGGAGACATTTAAATGCCGGGCAACACAAATTCCAACGAGGAAGTATGGGGAAAGACAACACTTTCACTTTCCAAACCAGGGATTAAACAGTCAAAAGCCTCATCATACATTTCTTTAAAACTGCACATCACACCGTCATCACCATCACGAATTGCATTTCCGCCTCCCTCCGCTCTGGTAATGGCCAAAAGCTTTGGCACGGCCGGCACGCGAGTCCCCCTTGGCATGCGTCCCCGAGGAGTTGCAAGCTGATATGCCGCGCGCACGTACGCTGGGGGCTGGGACACTCGCCGTGCACGCCCCGCGTTGCCAGTATCTTTAGAAGCAACGGACATCTCAATTGTTAACGAATGACATTGTTTGCGTGCACTGTACGCTATCCTAAGTACTCGGATTGAGCTTGCAAAGTATACGGTAACGCCTAAACCTTGCTCACCATCGTCCACAACCATCGACCGAAACCGTTGTCGCCCATCAGGATAAAAGCAATCACCGACACCCAGTGGAAGACAACCTCCACGATTTCTGTAATCTTGGTGAGCGAATACAATTCTTCCTCTGTTCACCGTCAACTTCGATCATACCACCCGTACTCTTGATACATTTTTACAGTACTCCTACATTAGTTCCTTCTTTTGCTAGCTATTTCATATCTATTATACATGCACCACAGGAAACAACGCTGTATCAGGCTGTTAATGCCATACTTCATTTAAACTACAAACCACACAGGCGTGAAAGCATCCTCCACCTTACATTTCTCAACCTCACGATCCACTATCATTTCCCACTGATATCCCAAGCACCTTCCTTTGGCCTCCCACGACCAGTTTCATCTGTCTTATCCTCTATAGACTTTGCCTCTGCACCGCGGGCCATCTTACGCGTTCTGCTGTTTTCTGCCTCATGGCCAGCGATGACAATGTCCGCACTGCCAGCCTTCTCGCCTTCACCCTCCCCTGCCGTGCCCCCACCCTGATCACCACTCCCCTTGCGCGGTCTCCCCCTCTTTGCACGTGTTGCATTCTTCTTTGTTCGCGCGGCCTTCAGCATCAGACCTTCGTAAGTCTCCCTCCATACCCTCCAGCGCCACCACATGCGGGCATCCACCATGACTTTCAGGATTTCGGGAGTGCACCCCTTCAAAGCTGCCTTATCAGCCGGTGTTAAAGCCACGGAATTCCGGGTGCCTTTACCAGGCCTCAGCACGTGGGCAGCTGCCGCGTAGCAATACGCTGCCTCCTCTATCGTGGTGTACGCGCCGACTCTCTTTGTTATCTTCTTCCCCTCCTTGTCCTTTGCGACAATCTTCACCCCATACTTGCGTGTATCGGCCTCCACATAGACCCCTGTGTACTTGGTCGGCTTTGTTCCTGGCTCCTTCTCGCCCTCTCCATCTTCCTCCGAATCCTCTCCTCCCGCCAACGTCTCCTGCTTAGGTACAGCTACGAAGCCGGGGTGTGCGACCGCACCGCTCTGTGCCATCCCGTACACCGGATAGGATGGCTGGACTAGTGAAACCGCAGCTGTCTGCTGCCGTGACAGCAACTAATGTGGAACCGTCCCGGGGATTGGCATAGGAGCCGGGAAACAGGGGTACGCACCAACGGCCGTCGCGAATTTGCTGTCGAGCGACACTCTCGTGTTCGAGCCCATCATATCCTCGTCTGGGCTGTCGTTCACCTGCTTCGTGTAGCTTGACACACGCTTTGGAGTGTGCGGTCCGTGCTTGTGCCCATCCGTACTCTGGCATCCCTGCTCAGCGACGCCAGTCTGTTGCAGCATGTTTTCGCCGTATGAGATCAACTGCTCCCTCGACATCCCAAGAACACTACCAAGTGCGGCGAATCCTGCAGTCATCGCACCCACCTCGCGCTTTAACGAGCACACCTCCGCCTCGAGCTGGTCTATACGCTATTCTTCTTTCTCACGTCCTTCCGTCGCACCCTCCCTCAAAGTCGTGTTGGTGTTCAACCCGCTTGGCTGAGAAGGAACATCCAAGCCATCCTCATCTAGCTTCCGAAGCAACTCTCCCATAGCGTGAGCGCAAAGATCAGCGCGCATGATGCGGCGGTACTGCAGCGCGCTGACCCCCTTGAACCACAGGCCACTCTTCACGTTGGCGAAGTCGGAGGAGACCAAATTTTTCAAGTAGTGGCAAAGAAAGACTCCACAGTCATAACCGTTCTCTTGCTTGGGGATGTGGTTTTCCTGCACGCAAAAAACCGCACACCAGGTGGTCAGTTTTGCATTTTGTATAACATCATCCATCCACCAAAAAACCAGGATGGTCACACTTACGGTGAGGACATGGCACGGAACGTCCCTCAGCAGCTGATCAAATTTTGCCATGTCTACATGTGGATGCGTCGTCCTGAAGGTGGTTCGACACAGGTGGTGTTGGCAATCCTTGTGCAGTTTGTACCGCATGCACTGCAGTCTGGTGGTAGAACCTATGCGCTAAACCACAGTTTGTATTGCAGGTTGATGGAGCTGCTACCCGTCGCTTTCCCTGACCAGGCGTCTAAATGGGAAATTCCCAAGATACACATGATAAAGCATCTTCTCGAGAACGTGGAAGCAAGGAGGATGCCACACCACTACAGCACGGAGATGTGGGAGCGAACACACAAGGGGACAGTGAAGGGTCCCGTGAGGGGGAGCAACTGGGCCGACATTCCTCGGAGAATTGTGGATGAGGAGATGCAGCGTGAGATCTACAGAAAAGTGGCGGCAGATGCGGGAGGAGGTTGGCAGTATGTATCAGCGCTGCGTGTGGTGAGCGAAAGGATGCTAGCTGGAGCAGGGGGAAGAGCGCAGGGCGATGAACGACCTGATTTCGGTGTGCGGATTTTTTGCATTCTGATGCAATACATGCTGCCTTGCGGGTGGTTGAGTGTGGCAGGCCGTGGAGGAGCTAGCGCCTGTGTTGACGAAGAAGTACAGGATCATGCGCCTCGGATGTAGCGGGGACAGTGTGTTTGCAGAGTTCGCAGCAGTACACGGGGATCAGATGGAGGGCCTAAAAGGTCAGCTGAGGCAGATGCAGATGGCGTGTGACAGCGTGCAGGTAAGTGAGCGTATGGTGTGCAGAATCGCAGCTGTGTTATGCGGAATGTGTGTCACTCACTGACAGTTCGTCTATTGCTTCGCTCGCAGACACACACAGCAGTGGCCATACCACGAACACAGGGGGGTGTGCTGGTGGCGAAGGGGACGTTCGTAAAGGCATCTCCGAGAGAGAAGGTGTTCTCAGATGTGGCACTCTTGGCTCGGGGAGGCGGAGATTGGTACGCTAGATGCGTGTGTATTTTCAAGGCGTTGAACGCGGAGGGCAAGTGGATTGGGTGTGCATACGTCAAGTACTACGAAGCCGCCGGGCAGTGTCCCATCACAACGTGTACCCAGTTGTATCCAGCTAAACAGAATGTGCGGTTCGCAGTGGTGCTGTTGAACAGCCTACAGAGGGTTGTACACGTATGCCCATCTTACAGCAACCCATGTGTGCTGCCGGTGAACAAGTTTCTACTCTGCGAGTAATAGGAGAAGGGGAATTGATGTGGAAATATGGGATGGGTTTTGGAAGGAATAACAGTAAGGGGGAGACGTGGGGTACTGACGGTGAGGGGTGGAGGCGTAGGAGGTAACGGATACAGAGTGTGGAACAGAACAGGCGGACGGTCTCGTGCTTTGCCTTGTCACACAATGTTTTGTGGGATAGTTCCGCCGTTGACATGGTTGGCGTACATCTAATTTGGAGGGCGGTGTTGGGATTATGATATTGGCTGTAAGGGATTTTGTTAGGACGGAGTTTTATTCGGGTTGACGTGTTGCCGAGTTTTTGTTGGTTTTGTAATGCAGGTACACGGTGGTGTTGGAATCATATACGATATGTGGCGGGGACTATTGGTTCGACGTTCGGATTTCAAGTGTTTGTGACTGGCAGGTGCGGCCGGTGTGACGTGAACGACATCCGGTCATGCAATTTTTGGCCAATGGAAACTGAGCACATGTGCACCTGCTAAGCAATGGTCAGAGAGCATTCAGAAAGCGATTATGTGTTTGTGGCTGTGTGGAGCCGATACTAGGTAGCACACCTGATGGCGAAGCGTACGGTTTCAGAATGAGGTGGCATATTTTGGGGAGGTTAGTCATTTCATCTCCACCTACCCACCCGGCGTTGAATGCTGGTGGCCAGTATGAGCTCGGTCAAGCCCCCCTTGAAGGACATCATCGAGAAGTTGAAAGTGCACCCCGACGATGTGTTTCTGTTTGTGGAGATACCGTTTTTGCCGAGCCGTTTGCCTAAGACCAAGATTCCAGGAAGGACAGCAACCCCGTGCGACCGGATCATAAGTGTGGGCTTCCTATACAATGCGACGGAAACCTGCAGCACGGTGCCCCTTGTGGTTTTGCGCCATGACGAGCGTCCAGAAACAAGGCGCAGCGGGGAACCCGCACCGTCGGTGATTGTGCGCTACAATAAGAGTGGTCGGCTCACACCCGAGGTATGTTGGATTCATTTGGGAGTGGACGGTTCCGCGGATTTCGCGAATGTAGAGGTGTCATGTTGGTGGTGTTGTTGTACGGAACCTTAACTCGGCGCATGAGTTGTCTTGGCTTGGCGTTGCGCAGGTGTTCAGCGAGTTCTTTCAGACGGTCGACGGTGTGCAGCTAAGCCGTGAACGGAAGACGGTTGTGTTCACCTACAACACCGCGCACCACATTACCGCGAATGACGCGAAGACGACGGTGGAGCACGGTTTGACGGTGGTGCATTTCACGCACACGCGCTTTGTTGACCTCACAGACATAGTTGCGTGGTCCAGCATGCCGTTTTTGCACGGCGTGGTGGACGCTTTCAAGGCGGAGTATCGTGTTATCCTGATGAGACGCGCGGTGCGATCGAAACTCTTCCACGAGGATTTCGATGCACCCTTTTTCGTGGTGAATTACGCGGTCATGCTGCTGTGGATGGGCTTGGCCTGGAAGGCGCTGACGGCGGCTACGATGCAAAGGAGCTGGTGGAGGGCGGGATGCGTCCCGGAGTCATGGTGGCCGCTTATGTGGCACCTGCACGACATGTATTCGGCAGGCATGTACGAGCCGCTAGTCTCTACCACGGCGGACCTGCTGGTGCTGCTGCGTGAGTTCCGTGTGCGGCCAGCGTTGCATATGACGGCGTCCGACTACGTGACCTGCGATGAGTGGTTAATGGAGCAGGCAGGAGTGAAGTTGGTGACGCCCACTACACCAACGTCTTCGGGGGACGAGGGTGAAATGTGCCTTCCGGATGGGCCTCTGATGCGAGACGAACGAAGCCGTCGGCGTGCCA